GGGAGAAAAGTTAAAAAAAAAAAGTTACAACAGAATTGATAGAAACCTTAGGGGGCAGTGATTTGATGCTGAGAACAGCTCAGAAAATGTGGGTGAGAATAATTGTCCAAGAAGAATCTGTCGTTGTCCCTGAATTCTACATGTGGAAACTATTTAATTGGATGTTTTGCTGTGCATATCCTACAGAAATACCCTGGGTTACATACTTCATTACTTTTGCTTTATAGCATACTCACAGAGATAAAAGGTGTTTATTCCATTTAGCTTTATTTTCTGACTTTTATCTATTTTGTTAAGTTTTCACAACTCGGTAACTTAGGGTTATTTTTGCTGCAGTTGAAGCGCAGAGTACTGTTTCCTGTGGGATTTGGCTTGTAACATAAACTTGTGTCTTCACTCTTCAGCTGCTCTCAGGAAACAGCACGCAGCAGAACTGCATCTGGGCGATTTTTTAGTTTTTCTTCGTAGAGTTGTATCTTCAAAAGCGATTCAATCAAAAATGGCTTCCCCAAAGTGGACAGAGGTCCTTCTAAATATAGCATCTCAAAAGTGTTCTTCAGGTATATATGATCTTTACTTTTATTTTAAAGTGTTTTTATACATCATTCATTTTATTCCTAATTCCAAATTTTTAGCACTATTGAATATTTAGCTTTAATTTCAAGACTAATAATAATCTTCCATGGTCCATATTAATTGAGTATATCACACTCTCTACTTATTTTTCTTATTTAGTGTAATTTTCATTAGCTTCCACCATTTAATGAGTTTTATATAACATTGGTTAAGTTTTTAGAGCTTTAAAAAAATCAGTTACCTGTTTATTTTCAACTAGTTTTAGTAATGTGTATTTCCAAAAAGTACATATTTATGCACCACTGTCCTGTCTCTACATCTACTTACTTTAGAACTGTACAGATTGATTATTTTCCACCAACTTTCATTATCTCTGTGAGTCAGGGCATAGATGGGGAGAGGCAGTGTGTATAATAAGCATGTATATAATAATCATGAGCTTTAGTGACTTACACACCTACTTAAAAGTCTACCTCTACTGAGCTGGTGGCTGTGGTCAAGTTACTTCTCTGAGTCTCAATTTTTTAATCACCTATAAAATGTGTTCACAAGTGATATGTGGAATGAATATGTGTAAAAGTAATTAGCACATACCCCAGAATAGGGGGTTATTATAGTGCTTTTCTTACATACCCATAAAAAGTAGGGCATAAGCATGAATATTTCTATACACTAAGGGATACAAATTTATTGTAGAATTTTTGTGATAATAGATTGAAATAACGTCCATTTCATTCACAAATGTTCAGTAACCTCAGAGATGTTTTCCCTCCAGCAGTTAGATTTAACTTTGAATTTAAACTACACTGATAATAAGAAAATGGCTTTCTCCCACAGGTATTCCTCTAGTTGGTAACTTAAGAACGAGGCTCCTTGCTCTTCACGTCCTTGAAGCTGTGCTGCCAGCCTGTGAATCTGGTGTAGAAGATGACCAGATGGCCCAGGTTTCTAATTTAACTATTTCTAGAAGATTATTTTTTGCATGCACTACATGATCCACTCCAAAGATAAACTTATACTTCTTTTGTAAATGTGCTAGTTCAGTAGTGTTACTGCTTCTGAAATTACTTTGTTTTCATGCTCTCAGGTGAGAAGTTAAGTTACGGGGTAAGCAGAGTGGAGATCTAGGGAGCACTTAGAAGAAAAAGAAAATCTGTGATGTTTTTCAGTAGGTTTGGACTTCTCTAGAGATGTGAGGTTGTGTGGCCTGTTTAGAAGTCCATGCTGTAAGGCAGCAGGAGGGCAATTGAACTCACTTTGAAATGGGTAATACCCTTTCTAATGGTGTTTAACTGCAAAAGACAGCTAGCAGTTGTATAATCGAACAAAGCATTACCATTTGTGATTTTGTTTAGAAATAACTCCTTTCAAATTGTATCATTCTTTTTCTTTCAACAGGTTGTTGAACGCTTATTTTCCCTGCTATCAGATTGTATGTGGGAAACACCTATTGCTCAAGCCAAACATGCTATTCAGATAAAGGAAAAAGAACAAGATATAAAATTACAGGTAATTGATTCTTTCATAAAGGTAATGTTAAGTAGCACAAATAAATATCCTCTCAGTGGTCTCGAGGCCCTTCTCTGAGGTACCTTGCTCTTCCAGGTGTGGCATCTCTCCTTTCTGCACTGTCTCGCTCTCCACTAGTTCTTTCCCCTCACTTTATACACAGCAGTTTCACATTCCCAGTTTTCTCAAATCTCTTTCTTTGGTTCATGAGGCTTGCTTATTTTCTCTCTTGTTTTTTACTACCAAGTTTCTCAAAAGACTACATATTTTCAGACATTCTTTTCTTCTCGTTCTCTCTTCACCTACACAGTTGATGCTCCATCAAAACAAATCCTCCATTAAATCATCAAAATTAAGTGAACAGAGATAATGATTACTTGCTAAATACAGTGTACCCTTTACGTCTGTATCTTGCTTGACTTCTGGAAACTAGTCCATGTTGTTTTCAAAGCACTGCTTTCCCCTGCATCTCCACAAATCTTATACCCCCAACCAAGTCTTCATTTACTCTGGAGAAAATATTTCCTTGGTACCCTTTCTACTTTCCTTTGTCCCAAATCATTGGTATTCCTCAGAGTTCTTAACTTTTCTAACATTCCTTAACCATTTTGTACCTACATGTGATGCCATCCGAACTTACATGGCAACCCAAATTTCTTTCTTTTAAACCTTTCTCGTATTCTAAGTTGGTGGCACCAGCTTCCTAAACCCAAATTCCTAGAAATTCTAGACTCTTTTAACTTTTACATTTATGTAGTTTCCCAGGTCCTGTTGCTTTTGTGGCTTTAATATTTATGGAATCCATTTATCCATCTACCTTAAATATTTTCTTGACTTTCATGATTCTGCATTTTTTTTCCTAGTTTCCTTCTATTGTAGTACAATGGCATTTTCTTCTCTTTCTCCTTTAATAGACCTTCTATCGAATCTCTCAAGTGTCAAAGTATCCTAAGATTTGATCCCAACCAACCACACCTTCATCCGTATTCCCTCTTCTGCACTTAAGGAAATCTTATTCAAATGCTTATGCCATTGATTCTCAGATTTTAAATCTCAGTTTTGAACTTTTTTCTGAATTCTGACCCACTTCTCAATTCTAGACTTCCATACCTGTCTTCTAGGTTACTGGGCACCACATATTCATTACATCAGAGACAGCACCTGCCGTTTCAGCACTTTGTTCTTTTGTTTTTCTCAGAGTTATTTCTGAGTCTTCTTTTCACACTGCCTCTCATTTCTATACCATACCATCTCCAAGTTTTGTTGACTTTATCTATCATACTTGAGTTTTTTATCTCTTCCATCTCCTTTCCTTACACTATTCTTATTTTATTTTATTAATTTTAATGGACATTTACAGAGATTTTGGATTTCCATTTGTTCATTGTTGCACTTTTCTCCCTGGCCTGCTCTCTACACCCCGCCCCCCAAGTTTGCTCCTCTGAAAAGTAAAATTCCTTCATTGGTATACAATCCATGATTCTTTTTTTTTAAATTGAGATTTTAATGAAAGTTTATAGAGAACGTGGATTTCCATTCATTCATTGTTGCACATCCATTATTATCTCTGCCCTTGACCAGACCATAGCTTCCCAGCTTGGTCTCTCTAATTTCATTCTACCTCTTAGAAGCATAGTCTCTACACAGAATTCAGTGATTGTATAAAACTGTAAGCTGTTCTTAATGTTGGTTTCTTCTTAAAACTTTCCGAAGATTTCTCATTCTTGGGATAAAATCCAGCATTCCCCTCCTCCTCCTTTTGTTCACCACACTTTGAATAAGTAGCCTTCTTCCTGCATTTGAACTTGGTAAGGTTGTTCCTTTCCTAGGACTTTGTACTGACTGTTCATCTGTCTTGAGTGCTTCCTGCAGGTGAATTTCTTAGACGATAACTACTTCTCAGGTCTCAGTTATCAGTTCTTCTGAGGTTCTTTTCCTCATCATTCGATTTAGAACAGCTGCTATGCATCACACTTATTGCCTGATATTTTCTTGTTTCTTTTCCATCTCCTTATTTCAGAACATAAATTCTTTGAGAGCAGAGACATGTTCCATTTTATACATTGCTGAATATGTAGGACCTGACAGAATGCCTGGAACATGCCAGAAAACTAATCCCATCACCCGCAAGTCAAGTCTGACTCATCACAAACCTCTGTCAGGGTTTGTTTTGTTTGTTTTTTTTCTTCTGTCAGGGTTTTTGGGGCTGTAAAATCTTTTCAGGGGGTAACAACCCTTCGTTCTCCTGTATGAAGTAGCCAGTGGATATAACCTGCCAACCATCTGGTTATTAGCTTGCTGGTACTCTAATCTACTGTATTCATGCTTTCGTGTCTGGGGGACAGACATACTGCTCTAAATGTCTTACATAGCAGTGATTGTGAGTGTGGTGTAGGGCAGGGCCATGTTTCGTTCTGTTGTATATATAAGGTCACAGAGTTAGAGCTGACTTGATAGCACATAACCACAACAAAACAGCATCTTTGATCTTATCATTCAGGACTCATCTCAGAAATTCCCCTTCTTTAAATGCTTACTTTGTCCATCCCAAGCATTGCTAGATACTACACTATATGCCCCTGCTATTTCTTCACTACAATACTATTATTACTCAATTATCTCTATAACTTTAATTGAACTGTGAACCAAGGGACTTTGTTTATCATGTATTCCCATTGTCTTACACAAAAATGTATGTATTGCTGGAAAGCTGAGTTTCTTCAAAATAATCACCCTTCTTTCTTTCTGGTAGAAGCAGGGAGAATTGGAGGAAGAAGATGAGAATCTTCCTATTCAAGAAGTATCATTTGACCCTGAGAAAGCTCAGTGTTGCCTCGTGGAGAATGGACAGATTTTAACTCATGGCAGTGGAGGGAAAGGATATGGATTGGCATCAACTGGAGTCACTTCCGGGTGCTATCAGTGGAAGGTATGGAGAGCTCCAAGTAGTTTTTTGAGTATTTTTAAATTTAACTGAAGGGTTTTCTTTTTTAAAGTTTTCTTTTTTAAAAACCATAGAAAGTCTTTAAAAACATGTACACACACACACATGCAGTGTTCTCTCATTGTGTACGATAACATGTGGAAACTAAAGACTATAGGGGAACTGTTTGGCAACTCTGTGCAACTCTCAATGGCCAGGAATTTTCCTGGGGACTGGTCACATCACTCCCCACTGCCTGACATATAATAAATTTTCTATTTCAAAAGGGAAGAAGGCATTCCACATCAACCACAGTGTTTGTACCACAGTTTAAGCACATCCTGAACACTTACCAGTTAAGGGGCACTTTATGACCGGTTAGGACACTATTAAGCTCCCAGGTAGCATCCAAGGACCAATGTTCCAAACATATCTTTCTAAGGAGAGTAGTCTCAGACTTTAATCTCAGATTTGCTATTGCCAAAGAGGAGAGAATAGGCCATGGGGCACAAGGCCATGAGCATCTCTCAGAAAGGGCCCAAGAGAGTTAGAGTAACACAGCACCTCACTGCCTCAGAGCAGAAAGCAGGAGCCGTAGCCCAGCTTCATGGTGCCTGTAGAGCCCCGCCAACAGCAAGAGGTTCTTTTTATTTGTTTCTGACTTATAGACTCAGTTATGGTACCAAAAATGAGGTTCATTAGGGAAGGAAGTTAGAGAGTGGGGAGGTAAAGAATATCACAATATCACCAGGTTTTAGCCAGCAGTTCCAAGTCACAACTCCTTGGTTATTCCAGACTCCAGTTTCAGTTCAGCAGGTGGGTTTTCCTTCCATCATCAAAGTCAAGAACAGTAGAATCTAAATGGCCAGCACAAATGCAAGAAGCTTCAGGTTATACCTTGCCATACTTTCTCCACAACAATGCCAGTCTCCTCACCAGCAAGGATCTCGCTCTCACCAGGGTTTTGCTGCCACAAGCTTTGTTGCCTCAAGTCTTGCTGTTCAGGGTGGGAAGCACTCTTTTAACTTACCCTAATTCTACAGCTGATGCTAATTTGCAAAACCATGTCTCTACAGTTAAGATAGTTGAAGACCAGAGGCAGCTAACTAATGGATAAAATAGCCAACTTTTTTCCCAGGGCAGAAAGTAATAAATGTTGGAGAGGTTATGGCAAAATAGGAACTTTTATACATTGTTGGTGGGATTGAAAAATCGTACAACCACTCTGGAAGGCTGTTTCGCGTTTCCTCAAAAAAGCTGAACATAGAAATTCCATATGCCACAGCTATTCCACTGCTTGGAATATACCTTGAGAAAATGAGAACTGAGGCACAAACAGAGACTTCTACACCACTGTTCATAGCAGTGTTCTTGTTATTCACCATAGCAAGAACATGAAAACAACCCAGATGTCCATTCTCAGTGGAATGGACTGAGAAATTATGGTACATCCACAGGATGAAATAGTATGCAGCCTGTAGGAGCAATGATTTTGTAAATTACTACCTAATATGGGAGGGACTGGAGAGCAGTATGCTGAGTGAACTCAGTCTCATAAAATAAGACCATTACTGTAGAACAAGTACGAGGATCCAAGGGAGGAACGGGGAGCAAAAGGGTGAGGATGAGCAGGGTAGGGGGGTTTAATCATAGGGTCACACAATTTGATGGGTGGAGGGGAGGGGTGGGTAAAGGAAGGGGAAAAGATCCAGTGTGAAAAATAATGTGTACCAACTTTGTCAGTAAACCAGTATTTAAAACAAAACAAAACAGCTATGTTAACTTTTTTGTCAGAAATTTACATGTGAAAACATCTATACATGATGAATGAAAGCTTTTCAGTAGTAACTTTCTGAACTAGGCACACTTTCTCAGCTTGGTAAGTTGTGAACTAAAATGACTTTGGTACTGGAGAAGAATATTGAATATACCATGGGACTGCTAGGAGAACAAACAGGTTCATCCTAGAGAGGGTGAGACCAGTAGCTCCTTGGAGGCAAGGATTCTGAAGCTTCATCTGACATACTTTGGACATGTTGCAAGGAGGAACCAGTCCTTGGAGAGGGACTTCATGCTTGAGAGGGTGGAGGGACAGCACAAGGAGGAAGACCCTCAATGAGATGGATTGATTCAGTGAATGGGTTAATGGACGTAGGTGTTTTGGAGACAATGAAATTGGCACAGGATAGAATAGGGTTTAGGGCTGTTGTACATAGGGTCATTATGAGTCGCAGGCAACTTGACAGCACTTAACAACAGTAACTCAAAAGTTAGGTGTTTTTTTCTGTCTCTATTCATAATATTTCTATTTATATATAATATATATTTACATAATGTAATAATTATATAGTTAATTTTTTATCTGTTATATTATTATATAATTTAAGGATGGATAGATTGATCCTAGTTTTTTGACAAACATTGTTTTTTCACACTGGATCTTTCCCATTTTCTTCACCACCCCCACCCATCAAATGGTGCGACCCTATGATTAACCCATCACCCCTCCCCATCCTGACCCCTCTGCTTCCACCCTCCCCTTTCCTTGGATACTTATACTCATTCTAAAATAATGGTTTTATACAGTATTTGTCCTAATGGGACTGAGTTAGCTCACTCAGTATAATGATCTCCAGTCCCTCCTAAATTAGGTAGTAATTTACAAAACCATTGCTCCTGTGTACTATATAGTATTCCATCATGTGAATGTTCCATAATTTCTCAATCCATTCGATTTTGGTTGGACATCTGTGTTTTTTCCATGTTCTAGTAATGGTGAATAACACTGCTATGAATATTGGTGTCCAGGTCTCTTTTTTATGCCTCAGTTCTCATTCTCTTGGGTAATAGTCCAAGCAGTAGAATAAATAGGTCATATGAAATTTCTGTGTTCAGCTTTCTGAGGAAGCACCAAACTGTCTTCCAAAGTGGTTGTACTCAAAGATTATTTTAAATATTGTAAAAGATGAAGAATATGTCTTAAAATTCTTTAAAATTGGTGAAATTATTTCCGTTTTATGTAATTTTCATGTAGGGTGAGAATAAACTCATCATGTTCCCATAGTTGCATCAGTATTAATGAGAGACATATTCTCCATTATTGGTTATTATAACTGACTGTAAGCAGTTTTTTATTATTAGTGAAAATTACCATTTTTCTTTTAGTTTTACATTGTGAAGGAAAATAGAGGTAATGAAGGCACGTGTGTTGGAGTTTCCCGCTGGCCGGTTCATGACTTTAATCATCGTACTACCTCAGATATGTGGCTATATAGAGCTTACAGTGGAAATCTCTATCACAATGGAGAACAGACTCTTACACTGTCCAGCTTTACTCAAGGAGATTTCATTACCTGCGTCTTAGACATGGAAGCCAGGACCATTTCGTTTGGGAAAAATGGAGAGGTACTGAAATTCATCCTTAATAACCAAAGCATGTTCTCTTATTTTTATCATTTGTTTATAGTTATTAAGTACTAGTGATTCCATTTTTATTCCGTTTCCACTGCTTTTTCTAGAATATGTTTGGTTCTCAAAATATTTATCAGCACTAAACAAACAGATAATATAGTAAACCCTCAGTAATATTATTAAAATACATGGGGGGGGAATAAACTCTTAACCTTGGGTTAGCAAGGTTAATTGAGATGTTGTACCTTTTATCCTGTTTCATTAAGTTTTGAATTTTACTGTATTATTGGCTATTTTAAAGAATCTTTGATTCCTTTTCATCACTTCGTCACACTCTAGGAACCCAAACTAGCTTTTGAAGATGTGGATGCAGCCGAATTATACCCTTGTGTCATGTTCTACAGTAGCAACCCAGGAGAAAAGGTAATGAAATCTTTATACTTAAGCATAAGCATGAGTGATTTTTTTTGGTTAGTGTTTATTGGCCACTGTTAGAATAGATAGATGTAATAAGCTGGTTTTGCCATTAAAAGTACCTGATTCTATAATGCATTGTTTTTATAAGAAGCATATATTTTTTTCCTTTTTTTAAAGCTTAGATTTTTTTTTAAGACGTTATTCTTTAGTAAAGCATTATTTTATATTCTGGCATTTCAAATATAACAGGTAAAAAAAATACAACAGGTCAATTTTTAAACATGTGTAATTATAAGAATCATAAGAAGTAGTTTAGGGGGAGCTCTGGTGGAATAGCTGTGGAGAGTTGTACTGTTAACCAACCCAAAGGTTGCATCTCTGGTGATTAGAATCTACCAGCAACTCTGCAAGAGAAAAATGAGCCGTCTCTTCCCATCTAACTAGAGCCTCAGAAAGCTGATAGAGATTTAGCTGTGAATCGGAACTGATTTGGTGATAATTTTTTTTGAGAGTTTAGGGATAATCTGGTTTATTAGCGATTATGCACATGAGAGAGAAATCCAAAAATAATCTTTATTGTTAAAAGATGCCATCTGGTGAATAATACAAGGCCTAGTTTGTTTCAAGGGGCCTTACTGATCCTAACTTTTGGTGCATCTTTAACATTTGCTCACTCCTTGTTGGAAGCCTTGAATTCATAATACATATGTCTTTTCAGACAGTACACATGTATTATAAATTTAAACATTCATTCAACGTGTGCCAAAATTTATAGTGACTAATAATTGAAAGAAGGAACCTGGTGGTGTAATGGTTACATTCCCAGCTACTAACCAAAAGCGTGGGAACTCAAACCCCCTAAGGGGCTCTGCAGGAACAATCTGCTTCTATAAAGATTTCAGCCCAGGGAGCTATGTAGAGCTCCACATGGGCTTGTTATGAGCAAGAGTTGTTTCAGTAGCACTTACTAACAACAGTGTTTTAGTAGAACTAATATGAGACCTCTGGTGGCCTAGTGGTAAGGAATTACGCTGCCAACTGTAAGGCATGTGATTCGAATCCACAAGCTGCTCCATGGGAGAAAAAGGAGCATTTTCTTCTATGCAGTTTACTGCCTCTGAAAACATATAGATATATAGATATAGATATCTGTATCTATCTATATCTATATGTGTGTGTGTGTGTGTGTGTATATATATATACATATATATATATATATATATACCTTAGTAACATAGTAGGTCATATGTTAGACTGTTAACTGAATGGTCATCTGTTCAAATCCAGCAGCCTCTTCGTGAGAGAAAAATGAGCAGTCTCATTTCATAAAGATCCATAACCTGAAAAACTCAGTGGATAGTTGTCCATGAGTTAGAACTGACTTGACGCCAGTGGGTTTGCTATTCATACCACATATTTGCACCCCTCTTTCCTTTTACACAGGTGAAAATTTGTGATATGCAGATGCGTGGCACCCCACGAGACTTACTTCCAGGAGATCCCATTTGTAGTCCAGTAGCTGCAGTGCTCGCTGAGGCCACTATTCAGCTTATTCGAATCCTTCACCGCACAGACCGTTGGACTTACTGCATTAACAAAAAAATGATGGAAAGGCTGCACAAAATTAAAATGTGTATTAAAGAGTCAGGGCAGAAACTAAAGAAGAGCCGCTCAGTGCAGAGCCGAGAGGAAAATGAAATGAGAGAAGAGAAGGAGAGCAAAGAGGAAGAGAAAGGTAAACATAATCGGCACGGCCTTGCTGACCTCTCGGAGCCCCAGCTGAGGACCCTCTGCATAGAAGTGTGGCCTGTGCTGGCGGTGATAGGAGGCGTCGATGCCGGGCTGAGAGTTGGAGGTCGGTGTGTTCACAAGCAAACTGGGCGCCATGCCACACTGCTTGGAGTGGTTAAAGAGGGCAGCACATCTGCCAAAGTCCAATGGGATGAAGCAGAAATTACCATCAGGTATGACCTATTGCATTACATTGTTAGCAAGCGAGTGTTTAATGGTGAAAAGGGCCCTTGTCTTTGGAGAGATTATGTATCTTAATGTACTATCTGTTAACATTTAGTAATTTTTTTTCATACAGCTGGCTGTTGGTACTGTAACTCCGTAAAGGAGTATTTCCCCAACTATGTTCCTTGGAATACAGTGGTTTGTAAAATACTGATAGTTTTTGTTTTGTGAAGAATTAGTAAACTTGCTCGATAGGATTAACCAGGATTCTTTCTCTTTTGGCTTCCTGCCCCCCTTTTTTTCCTCATCATCACCATTATACACTGAAATTTAAAAGAATCAACCAGAAAATGCAAATCTGCCAATTAATGCATTACTTTAAGAGGGCTTTGAATGCAAGGGGAGAATATTTAAGTAATTGAAATTAAGTTTTGAGTTATCCATGATTTTAAGTATTACTTTACCTTTTATTTTTAAAATGCATATTTCTACCCACCCTTTGTGTAACATTTTCAGTAGATATGACAATTAAATTTATTTGATGTTAATCATATTCTTAAAAGAGAACTCTGGTGGTGTAGTCCATCAGAAGTTGCACGGCTAATCCAAAGGTGACACCTCTGGTGGTTCAAATCCACTAGCTGCTCTGCAGAAGAAAGACGGTCAGTCTCCTCTCATGAGGAACCTTGGAAAACCTGGAGGGTCAGCTATGAATTAGTTAGGACTTCATGGCAATGAGTTGAGTTAGTATGCTTAAAAGCATTTAGATATATTCGCATTCAAATGGGATTTTTATGAAAAAGAAACATCATGTTGAGAAGTGTGTTAAATATCTCTATTGTTAAGAGGAATCACTTATCCAATGATTCTAATGACACCATTTGAAAGCAGGGTTTATTGAGTTGTTAAGGAGCTGTTCATTACAGAGTGTAATGTGTTTTCTTTGTAGTGTTAATATGACATGGAATAATATTTAAAACAAGGGATCTTAGATTTTTTTTGAGGCAGTAGTTTTCTAATCTAATGAAAACTGTGGGCCCTCTCAGTTGAAAAATATACATGAAATTTATATCCAATTTCAAGGTTTTATGGACTCTATCTGCCCTCACTTAGTTTTACCACTAAATGAAGAAACCAGTGAAAATTTTGTTACATAAAATATCTATCTGCTTTCTCAGTCTTGTTTCAGAAAAGATTTGCTTTGTCAAGTCACATTTAATATATAGATAATTAGTTAAAATAAAATTAAAACTAGAAAGAAAAATAAAGCAAAGAGGAAAATAGATAAAATGGAACCAAGATTTCACTAGTCTAATAAGTATACATCACAAAACTTTGTATACTTGCTGCTGTGTTTGTCTAAGTATAATATTTCTAACCTTTAGGAAGTATGTGATTGTATTTTTATTTAAACTTATATTAAAAGCATTAATTGAAGACATCATTTTTAATGAAAGTCTTCTGGAAGGTTGTAAATGACCATAACCCACATAGTATACAGGATTTATTGTGCAAACTTTCTCATTAGCCTACATTATTCATGGACAAACTACTCCTCACTGGCCAAACCTAGCCCCCTACCTATTTTTTTAAATAAAGTAACTTAGCCACACTCATTCGTTCTGGTGTGTCAATGGCTGCTTTCATGCAACTGCAGGATTGAACTATAAATATCAAGAGACCAGATGGCATACAAAGTCTGACAGAACTACCACCTAGTCCTTCATGTTACATTTGCCAGCTCCTGGCTTTAATTATTTAATAGTGGATTTTCTCATTTGAAAGCACTTTCACCTCTCATTGTTTTTGCTTTTGGCATCACATCTTTCCATTTGTTCATTTCCCCTCTGTTTGTAATAACTTCTCTAGTTTGTATAAGTTATTTTCTGTATCGTGTACATATGCACCTTATTTTGTCTACATTATTTTCTGTACCTTCCTCTTGTCTATCCCTCACTTGCTTCTTCCTGTGTCATTCTGGTCTTTATTAAAGCTTCCCAACTTTTTGGTCGCCTAGTGATACTCCATTGTATAATCTGGAGCCCTGTGAACCACTGCCGTTTGATGTGGCGCGATTCCGAGGCCTGACAGCTTCTGTGCTACTGGACCTAACGTATCTGACTGGCATTCATGAAGACATGGGAAAACAGAGCACCAAGCGACATGAAAAGAAACACCGACACGAGTCAGAGGACAAAGGGGAAGTAGAGCAGAAAACTGAGAGCGACTCTGCTTTAGATATGCGAACAGGCTTAACATCTGATGATGTAAAAAGTCAGGGAGCCACAAGCTCCAAATCAGAAAATGAAATATCTTCATATTCTTTAGATCCAGCACCTCCTAGTGTGGAACCCCAACATCAGATAACTGAAGGAAAAAGAAAAACCCATGAACACATGTCCAAAAACCATGACATAGCCCAGTCAGAAATCAGAGCAGTCCAGCTGTCCTATCTCTACCTTGGTGCTATGAAATCACTTAGTGCTCTTCTGGGCTGCAGTAAATATGCTGAGCTGCTACTGATACCAAAAGTTCTAGCCGAAAATGGCCACAACTCAGACTGTGCAAGCTCGCCAGTCGTTCACGAAGATGTGGAGATGCGTGCAGCCCTGCAATTCTTGATGCGACACATGGTGAAGCGGGCAGTCATGCGGTCGCCCATCAAGAGGGCCCTGGGATTGGCTGATCTGGAACGAGCGCAAGCCATGATCTATAAACTAGTGGTGCATGGGCTCTTGGAAGACCAGTTTGGGGGCAAAATTAAGCAAGGTATGTTATCCAATTTTGTTTTGTTGTTTTGACCTGTTGAAATTATAAGTATCGGAAATTATATGCTTTACAGCATATCTGTAAAAAATTTTTGGGGGGAAAGAGAAGGGCAAGCAATTATCTTAGAAGGCAGTTTCTTCTTTTATGTTAATGATTGTCTGTCTCCCTAAGATTTTCTGTTCTAAGCCTACTTGGGCATTAGAACCTACTCATTAGTGTCAAACTGAAATGTACCAAATGCCACAAAAGGTACCCAAGTATATATTGATTTGGTTCTAAGTAAAAATTATTCTCTATTCAGAGACCTTTTAAAGTCTACTAATGTTAATGGATTATGAATTGGTATAAAAAAACTTGTTTACTTTTTTTTCCTCACCTTTGGATTTGAGGTGTAAAGTAAAATGGAGATTATTCATCAAATGTTTATTGAATGGCCTGGGTGCTTCTCTAAATTCTAAGGAACTAGCTGAACAGAATAAAAGTCTCTTGCCTTCAGGAAGCTTACATTCATTCCCCACCCTTCCTTTTGTCTCCTGTCTATCCTTCCTTTCTTTTTTTAGATACTAACTAGACATAGAGAGGCACATGGTGCACATAAGGACAGTGGTTCAGAGCATGGTGATTATGAACAGATGTGACCATTTAGCAAACTCCAAAGAATTAACAACCTTTGCAGGAACTACAGTTTTTATTATACTTATTATCTAAAAACAGTTTTACACATTTTAAACTAAATATTTTGCTTTTATAACTTTTAGGAGCATTTTAAATGTGTTTGGTTTTGAGGATTTTTTTACAGCATGGAGTTCCTATTTATGTTTTTATTATTTTCATATCTACATGTTTTCATGTTGGCCTATTTATGCCCCAAAAATAGACAGTCAAAATCAGAGTGCTCAAGATACACAGTTTTAATGATCAGGTATGTTTAGGAATCCTCCTGTCAAAACTTAAGACCAAAAGTGGGACTTCTTTTTATTTTTTGAGAACTCTATTTGTTCAATAAAAGTAATGAGTACTGATGAAGGCTTAATTTAATTACTGTCTGTAGAGTCTCAAGTAATAAGTACAATGATGATAAAAGAATGTTTATTTTTCTGTTTTTATAAAAGTTGAACCTTTTGAAAGATCATTTATAACATTTTTAATGTAGAACTTTCCCATTTCGGTTCTCAGTCTTGAAAAAACCAACTCTTACTACTTTGTTAATCTTTACCTTGTTTTGTAGAGATTGATCAACAAGCTGAAGAAGGTGACCAGGCTCAGCAGTCACAAACACCTGTTACCACTAGCCCATCAGCCTCAAGCACGACCTCCTTTATGAGCAGCTCCCTGGAGGACACCACCACTGCCACCACTCCAGTCACGGACACGGAAACGGTACCTGCATCTGAGTCCCCAGGAGTGATGCCACTTAGTCTTCTCAGGTAGGGAAGTTAAGCTTTGTTTACTGCCTTATTAGTGGCCATGGTTCTAAAACATGCACTTGCTCTCTTATGGATGCATAGTATGTTCAGCTGAGTCATGGCCTTGAGAGCTAGGAACAACCTAAGAATTAATAGAGTCAGTCTCTGAACTTGACCTTCAGAGGAATATAATAAGTTACCCAAACTCTCACAGGTAACAGTTGCAGCCTCTCTAAGCACAGATTACCTGTCTTCTTAGGATCTTTTAATGGGAACAATAATTATCTGTCAGATAGGGAAAGGGAAGGCAAATAAGGAAAAAAGAGACGAACCATCTGCTTCCTTTATTTCCCTAAAGCCTTGCTTTTAAGAGAACTCACAAAATAGTCTCTCTCTAGATCCTCTCTCTCCCTAGATCCAAAAGAACAATTATTATTATTATTTGCAAGAATATTGTTGTTGTTATTATTATTTTGGCTGAGCCTTTCAGTATTTTTTCCCCCACAAGAAAAAGTTCACCTCCATGAAAAGAATTATAGATTATTTCTTTTTAAGCATAAATCCTTAGCTATACCTTTATTCTTGCCTTAAGGTCAAACAAGTCAGCTTAGCAAATGAAGGAGCATGTGAGGTTTCTTGAGACTACCATATTTTTGTTTGTAAACTTCAAATAATGATTACCTATTTACATTTTTTTCCTTTTTTAAAAAATCCATTTTGGGTTTTTTTTTTTTACATTTTAATTGAGATTTTAACTAAAATTTATAGAGAAATTAGATTTCCATTCATTCATTGTTGCACATTTTCCTCCCTACCCACTCCCCAATTCACTTTTTTCTTTGAAAAAAAATTCTTTCATTGTTTTGCAATTCCCCTCCCCACCTCCTGGTCCACTTTACTCTGCAGCTCTTATTCTGGACTGTTGTCATACAAATAATACCTGATCATACAGGCCATGGTCTTTGCTATCACTTGTTATGCATCAGAGAGTTAGACAATGACTAAGGAGGATAGAAGGAGAATCGATGCCTTTGAGCTGTGGTGCTGGAGTAGAGTATTGAGGGTACCATGGACTGCTAGGAAAACAGATAGATTCATCCTGGAAAGGGTCAAACCGGGCTGCTCCTTGAAGGCAAGGATTCTGAGGCTCCGTCTAACATACTTTGGACATTTTGCAAGGAGGGACAGGTCCTTGGAGAGGGACATCATGCTTGGGAGGGTGGAGGGACAGCGCAGAAGGGGAAGGCCCCCTATGAGGTGGATTGATACAGTGATTGGGTTAATCAGGATGGGTGTGTCAGAGATGGTGCGATTGGCACAGACAGAGCAGAGTTTAGGGCTGTTGTACATAGGGTCGCTATGAGTCGCAAGCGACTCGACGGCACATAGTAACAGCAACAATGACAACATATGTTCCTTTTAGGCAGTTCTTTTACCTCATCTATTTCAATGCAATGTACATTATTTATCTCCTCTTTTCTTAGTTTCCCTCCAACCCCCCATCAGTCCTGTTTTGTAACCATGGCATTATGCAATAGTTGTCCTTTTGTAACTGAGATAATTCACTCAGCATAATGTCCTCCAGGGTCGCCCGTTATTTTTTAGCATTTTACATGTCACTTTGTCAAATGAATACACACAGTTAAAATATTTGAGAGAGGACGTAGAGAGAGAGAGAGAGAGACAGACCATTTTGTGAGTTCAGTTAAGTGAAGCTTAAGTGGAATAAAGGAAGCATATATCTATTTTTTCCTAATTTATCTTCCCATTCTCTTATTCAACAGGTAATTATTCTTCCCATTGTATAGTCAGAGACCTTAAAGAGTGAAGATTATAGTTAGTTATTACATACTCTCAGTTTTTCATGTGCCCAAGAGCTGCCTGGGGAAATTTATAAAGCTCTGGATCTGTATCCCCAGCTAGTCAGATTCAGGAGTTCTGCTGTGGGTCTTGTGGTTTGTTAACTTTCCCAGTGATTCTAATGTATTGGTCTTCGGTTCACACTTTGGGATGAACACACTGTTATCTTGTTCTCATCCTGGATAGAAGGAGCACTAATTAAGGAGCTACCACTGCCCACTCTCAACTGGGTGATGTCTGTAGGAAGGCCATTAATCAATTCCCCACAGGCCATTGGCCACATCTCCTGCCTCAGCTTTCTCAAGGAATGAAAGGATGTGTTAATATGGTTTGGGCACAGCAGTTAAACTACTCTCCAAAAGATTGTTATTTCAGATCCATGAGCTAGGAATTCCATGGGAGAAAGATGTGGCAGTCTGCTTTCTGTAGATTCATAGCAACCTGTAGGCTCACACTGAGTTAAGAGTGACCAGATGGCAGCAAGTTTGGTTGTGCACGGTTCATAGTGAGTTGCACTGCTAGCTCAGAGGCTGTGCTTTTCTGACAATTTGAATCCACCACTGCTTCCACAGGGAAAAGGTGGGAAGCCTTGTCCCATTGTTATCCACCACCTCAAGCACCCAGTGAAAGGTGACTATGAGGTGGAACTTACAACAGCAGTGAGTGGGAGTGAGAGTTGATGATAGAAGTGAAGGTCTTCACAAGGATCAGTACGCGATCACTCCTTGTTCCCCTTCATGCTCTGGTTAGTGTAGTAGAGTCGTCAAATTCTGAGGTAAAATAATGACCCTTGCTCCCAAAGACACTTTGACACCTCTCTTCTTAGTCCTCACCTTCCTATTGACTTGAGACTATACCAGAGCTTCAGTTAACAGCCTGGCAGAAGTTATTTAACAATAGAAAAGTGAATTTGATTTACTGCCCATTATGTGAATGTCAAAGAAACTCTTGTGACATAGTCCATAGTGTGTTGTGCTGCTGGCCAAAAGGCTGAGTGTCTACAGCAGTTCAAATCAGAGGTGGAGTGATGTCACTTCCAGTTACTATTTACAGCCTCAGAAACCTGATGGAGGGCCACTGAGTCAAGACCTCTGAGTGGCAGTGTGTTTTAAATTTCCATGTGAACACCATCAGGAGCCCTAGTGGCTAAATCCATAGTGTGTTACCCTAGTCAGAATGTCACCTGTGGTTAGGTTGCACCAGCAGCTCCATGGGAGAAGATGGGCAGTCTTCTCTTGTTAAGATGTACAGCCTTGGAAACCCAGTGGTGGAGCTGACTCAAGAGCAGTGAGTTTGAGTTTATATTTGAAATGAATACCAATGGGCACTGACAGTGTAGCATTAATATGTCTTTATACTAACCAAAAGGTCAATGATTCAAATCCACCAGCTGCTCTGTGGTAGAACGATGGACAGCTTTCTATTAAGATTTACAGCCTTGGAATCCCAGTAGGAGGGGCACTCTGAGTTTCAATTGACTTAACAGCAGTGGGGTCTTGGATGGGAGTGCTATCATGTCACAGTTCTTTAAGATTATTTGCCAGTACTTTTTTTAAATTTTTTTTTATTTTATTATTTGTGTGTGTGTGTACCGTCAAATCAGATCTGACTGGTACAGGAGGAGATTGTCTCTCCTTTCCCGGCAGAGCATCTGGTGGATTCGAACCGTGAGCCTCTGGGATTGTAGTTGCAGCTCCTTGCCACTAGGCCACCAGAGCTCCCCCACCAGTACTTTTTTGATACTTAAAAATTGTTCTTTTCAACAAATCTAAAGAATAGTCAGTGACGATCTTCTTGGGTTCATTCTTGGGTCACTTTCACTTGCTTAGCTTCTCTCCTGTTTATTTTCTCCTCTGTGCAGCTCACATTTCACTCCTATATTATTTTTAGATGTGTTGGGTGACTCAATCTTTTCTTTTCATAACTTGTGTAAAAAAGTATTACTTTTAATCTGCGTGAAAAATTTCATAAATAGCTAGTGAATTTACGTTTGAAGTAACTGCAAGTTATCTAGTTATTGAAGTTTTCTTTATTCTCTGGCTATTGTTTGACTACCAAGATGTCCCTGGCCAGGATGATCTTGGTGTTATAAGTAGGGATTTTTATCCAGTATTTCACTGCTATATTTCCCTATTTACTTTGGCTGAAATTTTGTTGTACCATAAGATTTTATTACTTTTATAAGTAAAAGTACCATGTGAGATAATGATTTCCAAAATTAAGGAATCTTTATTCCCCTTGTTAATCTGTAGCTAGCGTATGTAATAGTCCAAGCTGTATATTCTTCTGTAAATAGATTATACTTATATGTCATTTAGTAATTGGATTTTTTTTCTCTTGTTTTCTTGAAGGCAAATGTTCTCTAGCTACCCAACTACCACTGTACTTCCCACACGTCGTGCTCAGACTCCTCCAATATCATCATTACCCACCTCCCCTTCTGACGAAGTAGGAAGGAGACAAAGCTTAACTTCTCCTGATTCCCAGTCAGCAAGGCCAGCTAACCGCACAGGTACATGTGCTGTCGTGCACTGTGACATTCAGATTTCTTTTCTTTTTTTTTTTTTTAATTTTTGTGTGAGTGTACCGTCAAATCAGATCTGACTGGTACAGGAGGAGATTGTCCCTCCTTTTCCCGGCAGAGCATCTGGTGGATTCGAACCATGTGCCTCTGGGATTATAGTTGCAGCTCCTTGCCACTAGGCCACCAGAGCTCCCCGACATTCAGATTTCTAACAGTCCCAATATGCAGGACATTATTGGGTGGGTATTTTATCTCATTGAAGGTAAAACGGGTATTTTAATAAAGAGAGAACAACCTTGTCCAGCTGAACTGTTTTCTCTATCCTGAAGCTATAGACTGTGACTGCTTGGAAAAGAAAGAACATACTGCATATCAGTCATATCAGACTTTTCTTCTCTGCTAATAATATGTATTTGTACTGGCATGTCTTCACTGGCACTGTGATGTCATGATGTGCCTCAGAAGAGCCACTGAGCCCATGTTGGTGATGAGAAAGTCAGGAGAGTGCCTGTTTCAAATACCAGCTCTCAATAGTTATCAAATGAGACATTTATGTGAATCTGGGTAGACACTGCTCGGTCTGCTAAATGCCACTGTGCATAAAGTAATATTTAAGAAGCTACCTAATACATAATACATAAACTTTTTTTAATGCTGTAATCGCTGGAGAAACTCAAGATCAGCTGTGAAAACTAGGCCGGGAACTGATTGTGGAACAGACCACCAACTACTCATATGCAAGTTCAAGCTGAAACTGAGGAAAATTAAGTCCAATCCACGGAAACCAAAATATGACTTTGAGTAGACTCCCACCTGAATTTCAGAACCAGCTCAGGAACAGGTTTGAGGCCTTGAACACTAATGAGAGAAGACCAGATGAGCTGTGGGAGGTTATCAAGGGTATCATCTAGGAAAAGTGACAACGGTCATTGCAAAGACAGAAGAGGAAGAAAAGACCAAAATGGATGTCAGAAGAGACTCTGTGAATACTGCACTGGAGCGCAGAGAAGCCAAAGCAGAAGGAAGAATTCAAGATACTAAAGAGCTGAATAGAAGATTTCAAAAGACAGTGTGGGATGACAAAGTAAAATATTACAATGTAATGTGCAAGGAGTTGGAGTCAGAAAATCAAAAGGGCCGAACTTGTTCAGCATTTCTTAAGCTCAAGGAACTGAAGAACAAATTCA